AGCCGGCCCGCGCTGCACGCCCGCGGCCCAGGCCGCCGTAAAGGAAGCGGCGCTTCCTCTCCTTCCTTCTCCCGCTTCCCACCAGCTGTCGTAAAAGGGTGAATGGAGAGCGAGTTGTGGGGGGGAGAGAGGGAGGACAGGGGGCGCGGAGTGAGAGTGGCGCAGCAAGTGGCTGCAGGTGGCGACGGTGGCGGGGGGTGGGGAGTGAGGTAGTCCCGGGGTCGCGGAGGAGGCGGCGGCGCAGAGGGTCCCAAGGAAACTCAAGCTGCAGTCTGGCCTACGGGTCCGGGGGCCGCGGAGCCCCCACCCGCGGAGATGGACCTCAACCGGATCATCCAGGCGCTGAAGGGCACCATCGACCCGAAGCTCCGGATTGCAGCGGAGAACGAGCTCAACCAGGTGAGGAGCGGGCCTGCGGCGTCCCCCACCGGCTCGCGGCGCTCGCGCTCCTCGGCGCCCCTCTTCTCCACCCCCCGCGGGGCTCGGGACCCTGTCGCTGCGCTCGGCCTGTCCCGCCCTCCGCTCCCCGCTCCGGTGGAGCCGCGCTCGCAGAATCTGTGCTAAACAGCTCGCGCACCTGTTGGCCACCTTTGCATCTTTTCCTGTCGTCTTTCTTCTCCAGTGCAGTTTGTTCAGCCCACTTGGTCCGCAAAAAGAAGCTTTTGCAACCTTTGCTAGTATTTTCTGGGTGTGCTTTCTTGTACTTAAATGCTCTGACTTGGTTGCGCGGGTGGGCAAAGTCACTACACATTCGAATCCGAGTTCAGCTTTTCTCCAGACCCAGCCCTTTTAAGGTGTTGCTGTGGGAAACCCTGCCCATTGCCTACTTCTGTGGGCTTGGCAGGACTATTTTGACCCTGATTGGCACAGTTTTGCTGGAAAGCAGTCGGGAGGAGGCTCTGGGAAGAATAGGTAGTTTTCATGGGGTACTGCCTTACCAAAGACATCGGGTAATGAGTGTGTGGAGGGATTTCTTCTAAGTGCTAGTGTGTAAGACTTTCTTTTATCCTCAGTCTCCTACTCTTCTTAACCAGCCTTGATCTTGTTCCAGCGTTATCTCCCAACATTTCAGAAATTTAATGATCCCAGACACTAGCTGATTTTTCCTGCTTACCTGTAAGAACAAGACCTCTCAGTAAAAAGTATGAATTAAGATCTCTTTCTGAAACGGAGTGACAGCTGTTTTGAGGTTACTGTAATCCTTAAAATGTAAAGGAATGCTCCTAAATCATTGATTCTCAAGAGTACCTGGAACCAGCTGCATTACCACCACCTGAGCACCTGTTGAAAATACAAATTAGGGGGCCTCACCCCAGGTTTAAACAATCAGAAACATAGGAGTTGGTGGGGAGGGAGCACTTGTATTTTAAATATTTCCCTAGGTGATTCTGTGCCACCTACGTAGACTGTCCTAAGTGAATGTTTCTGCTAGTGTTGGCTTTACGCTGCAGACTTGTGTTTTGATTATTTTAATGGGGAACCTGAATGGAGTTTGGAGTAGGTGTGAATCCAGGATTCCCTAGAAGTGAAAGTGAGAGTAAAAACACCAGCTGTGGAGGAGTGGTTGAGTTAACCAAAGCCCAGAGGGAATGTACTGGTGCCTCTAAAAGAAAAGGACTGCCACTCACAGTAGGGGGAAGCTGTAGTCTGTACCTGCTCCAGGCTTTGCAGTGTGGAAGCACTGTGTGTTGGCTGGCTGGAAGAACAGTAATCCAGGGTTAGTTAGGAAGGACAAAGCTAGAGCTGAATTTGCAGTCCCCTGTGCATACAGAGTTGGCCTGTTTGTGAACCTCTTCTCACAATGGAGCCACGTGTGACTCTGATAGTGTTGAGAAGGAACATATCTTTTTTTATTTAAAGAATTATTTTTTATTTAACTTTATGTATTTAATTTAATTTGACCAGAGAGGGACAGAGAGAGAGAAAGTGAGAAAGCACGCTGCCAGGTCTGGGACGCGAACTGCCATCCAGTGCCCTTAACTACCACAGCACCTGGTGGCCCCAAGGGAACATATCTCTGATATAATGTTACATTTATCTATGGGTTAATCTAACCTTGCTTTGTTTCTGACTCATCAGTATGTAAGTGTGGTTGATGTTACCGGAGTAGAAAAGGTAGGTGGGGAATCCTGTAGGTAGAGGGAAAGCGAGAAATCACACCCTCCCCGCCCCCCAGTGGGGGTGGCTGTGCGACAGTCTCTTTTCCTCCAGTCTCCTCTTGGGAATGCGTGACATGATTTTCTTTCTTTCAAATAATTATTTATTTTATTTTATTTATTCATTCATTCATTTATTTTAATTTGACCAGAGAGAAAGAGGAAAGTGAGTAAACAAGATTTAGACTCACATTTTTCTGTTACTGGCGACATGTTCCCTGACTTCTTTTTGTGATATTATTTCTATGGGAAAGTGCATTCTCAATGTTATCTCAGGATATTAAGAATGAATCCTGGGGGACCAGCAGGTGGTGTGGTGGTTAAGGCCTGGATATTCCCAAATGGCTGACCAGGGTTCAAGTCTCAGACCCTCTCCCCCACCTCCGTTTGTGTGTCTCTGGTCAAATTACAAATAAATAAATGAATGAATGAATAAAATTAAATAATTCTTTTTTTTTTTTGAGAGTTTTTTTTTTGCTAAAGGGCACGTGCGCTCACCAGACAGAGAGACAGAGATAGAAAGCGACAAATCACCCCCCAGGGGGGATGGCCACGCCACAATCCCTTCTCCTCCATTCTCCTCTCGGGATCTTAGGCACACACGCACATGTGCCCAGTGTGAGTTTAAGCCACCGGGTCCGGGACACGAACCATGGTTGACTACATGGGAGTCCAGCGACATAGCCATTACGCTAACTGCTGGTCCCCAGATTAAATATCTCTTTAAAAAAAAGAATGAGTCCTGTACACCTGCCCTTTGTCTCTAGGCCACCGGTCCCTTTAGCAGCAGCACTGGAGTAGGAATGAGTGGGTATCTTGGTTCAGTAACTCGTCTAGAAGGTGTCTTCTAATAAATCACCCTACACGTGGCTTCAGTAGGGAAATAATGGTTATGTACATCTATGGCCAAGCTTTGGAGTCCCTGCTTTCCTTGGATTTTATTATTATTTTTTGAGGTTTTCTCTATAGGGCACTTGCACTTGCCAGAAAGACAGAGAGAGACAGAGAGACAAAAAGAGAGAAATCACCCCTTGGGGAGGGATGGTCACACCGCAGTCCCTTCTCCTCCATTCTCCTCGCGGGATCTTAGGCACACCCGCACATGTGCCCAGTGTGAGTTTAAGCCACTGGGTCTGGGACTTGAACTGCAGTCAACTACATGGGAGTCCAGTGACATAGCCATTATGCCAACTGCTGGTCCCCCTTGCATGTATTTTTGTTGCCCTCTAAGAGAGTTTGTTTATATGAGTAATATATACATTTATTGAGTTATATTGTAAATGCATGGGACATGCATATTGAGAAAGTCATGCATGGATTTCAACAATCTTTTTTTGCACCAAAATAAACTCATACTTCAATTTCATTTTCCATAAACTTTTTTTTTTTTTAAGAGAGGGATTTTTGCTGTTGGGCGTGTGTACTTGACAGAGAGAGACAGGGAGACAGAGAGATAGAAGGCGAGAAATCACCCCCTAGGAGGGATTGCCATACCGCAGTCTCTTCTCCATTCTCCTCTTGAGATTTTGGGCACACACGCACATGCGCCTGGCATGAGTTTCAAGCTACTGGGTCCAGAACTTAAACCGTGGTTGACCAAGTCGGAGTCCAGTGACGTAACCATTATGCCATTTGTTGGTCTTGATTTTCCATAAACTTTTGAATTAAGTACCCTCTTACACTGTATTTTTTCCCTATACATACACACCTATGATAAAGTTTAATTTGTAAACTAGGCACAGTAAGATAAAATAGTAATAATTACTAATAAAATAGAACAGTTATAACAATATTCTGTAATACATGTTATGTGAATGTGGCCTGTCTCAAACTATAATAAAGAAACTAGCAAAGTTGATTGTGGGGAGTTGAAACTGCAGGTAAGAGGGGACTGCTGGAATTTAATTTCAGATCATAAGTACTTACAGGGAAACAGTAGTAGGATGTTTCAGTAGGATATTCTCTGAAGAACATTTGGCAGAGATCCAGATGTTGTGAAGGGATGAGCGGGGCAAAAACTTAGGAAAAGAATGGAGGGAACAGCAGTTTTGAAAAGGCCCTCATGTGGCCCCAGGGCCTAATGGTTAAGGAAGCTAGATCCCACATGGCCAGCCAAGCAGTTCTGGTTGAGTCTTGGCCATAGCGGCTTGAAAAACATGCCTGGCACATGTGTGTGCCCGGAACCCTGACAGGATGCAGAACGGAGAAAGGGTTGCCGTGTGACATGCCCCACTGGTGGTGCTCTCTCCTTTTTTCTCTGTCCCCCCTCCTGCTTCTCTGGCAAACTCATGTGCTCTGGGGGAGGAGGGGGAAGAAAAGCCAAGGCCCTCAGCCGACTAGAAAGGTAAGTTATTGCAGTGAGGCCGAGAGTAGGAAAGCATCAGGTGCTTGCTTTATAGGAGTTCTCATAAAGTGTAGAGTTAGCTAAGCTAGCAAAGTACTTATTTTCACAAAACGTAACAGACATAAAACATCCCCAAGAAATCAATGAGAAATGAGTCTTATTATTTTGTTAGTAGCTTGAAGCCTAAAGAGGGACAAAGAATTTGGGCAAATATTTGTGAGGAAAATAGTGAGACTAGATCTGAATTTACCTCTTGAGTGTTAGCTGACCATATTAACATACATTCATACATGGAATTAAAGCTGAAAGAAGACAGTTTCAGAAGTTCTTTAAAAATGGCAGTTGTAAAAAGGGGAGTTCCAAAGTATGTATGATGGTAACAGTGTTGAAATAAAAGTAGAAAAGTAGCTTCCCAGTAACTACTTTCCAGTCAGTAGCATTAATCTAAGTATAAAAGTTACTTTATATTTATATGTAATAAGTTTTTTTTTTTTTTAAAGAAAAACTGAGGTCAGTTTTATGATCAAAGTATATAGCTGTTTTAATCTTTGATTCACTGTAAGATCTGACAATATCTAAAAAGTTATGAGTTATTTTACAATGTGTATGTAGAAGGTATAAAAGATTGGGCTAAGCTGTATTAATTTTGCTAAACTGTAAACTGTTGTTAAAAATGAATCTTTTTGGGACCAGCAGGTGGTGTGGTGGTTAAGGCGCTGGACACTCCCATATGGTCGACCGGGGTTCAAGTCCTGAATCTGGTGGCTTGCTTTCTCACTTCCTCTCTCTCTCATTCTCACCCTCTGTCTCTCTCTGGTCAATAAAAAATAAATGAATGAATAAATAAAAAATAAAATAAATATTTATTTAAAAAAATAATCTTTTTTTTTTTTTTTGTAAAGGGAGATTTTTGCTATAGGGGTGTGTATTTGCTGGAGAGACAGAAAAACAGAAAGCAAGAAATCACCTCCCAGGGGAATGATCATACCGCAATCCCTTCTCCAATTCTTTTCTCAGGATTTTGGTCACACACGTGCACGCACCCAATGTGAGTTTCAAGCCACTGGGTCCAGGATTTGAATCACAGTTGGCTATATGGAAGTCCAGCAATGTAAGCATTATGCCATCTGCTGGTCCTGTGCCCAGCATTTCTTAAGCCACCAGGTCTGGGGTTCAAACTGCACTGTTGACTGTGGGATCCAGTGGCAATAACCACCATGCCACTTGCTGGACCAAAGAAAAAAAATTTTTTTTTTTGACTTGTAGTACTTTATGACTGTGGTTCAAATCCGGAACCTAATGGCTTGCTTTCTCACTTTTTTTTTTTCCTTTCTCTCTCTTTCTCTCTCTCGTCTAATTAAAATAAGTAAATTCTTTTTTTTATTTTTGTTAAAGAACCATCTTATTAAATTTTATTTATCGTGATTACTGCTTTTTATTTTTTAAAAAGAATTACTTTATTTAGCTTTTTATTTATTTAAATTGACCAGATTGGGGGGGGGGGGGAGAGAGAGAACGTGAGAAAGTAAGCTGTCAGGCCCAAACGGCGGTTGGCCATGTGGGAGTCCAGTGCCCTTAGCCACCACACCACCTACTGGCCCCTGTTACTATTTTAATTTGACCAGAGAGAGACAGAAACAGGAAGAGTGAGAAGATAAGCCACCTGGACCAGGACTCAATCCGTGGTTGGCCATGTGGGTGTCCACTTTACTCAACCGTCACACCACCTGCTGACCCCAAAATTAAATAATTCTTTAAAGTATTTTAGTAATCATCATTTTATCTTGGAGTTTTTCTCGCTTCAAACATTTTTCTTTTATTTGGATAGTGCTGTATGTAATAAGAGGTGCTAAGAGCTGTCGCCCTATTTTATACAAATATTTCTTTGTACTTTCAGTCCTACAAGATTATCAATTTTGCCCCCAGTTTACTTCGGATTATAGTTTCTGACCATGTGGAATTTCCAGTACGCCAGGCAGGTGAGTTGTTTTTTTTATTCTTCGGACATTTATTTGTAAATGAAAGTAGAGTGAATTTTAGTTCTAAATATCTATAATTTCTTGAAATGAGGAATACATGAAGGTATTACCGATAACTTCAAAGCTCACTTCTCGCCCACCCCTGCCCCACTTCCGAGGTAGACGGCGACCTCTCAGACCTCCTCTAGTACTCTCCTCCGCTCCCTTCAGCTCATCAGCTCCTTGCTGCTGTAACCTTGCCCTGTCTTTCCCTTAGCTTTTCTGATGTTCGTAGCTTGGTCTCCCTCATTGTTACGATTACTGGGAGCCCATAGCCGAGCTTACTGAGCCCACGATTTGATACACATTAATGCGCGTGCAGGTGCCATTGTGCAGCAGGTCACGTGCTGCCCAGAGGTTGGGCAGCCTGACTTTGGTTTGCAATTTGAAATGTACTTTGAAGTTTGTGAGGTCTGATGTAGTTCCATGATGTCATGTAATTTTATTTCCCTCTTTTTTAAACTTTATTTAAAAAATTTATTTAATTCTATTTATGATGATTATTTTAAATTTGCTATAGGGCATGTGAGCTCCCCAGAGAAAGAGAGAGAGAGAGAGAGAGAGAGAGAGAGAGACAAGCAAGTAAACTGCCTGGTTCGGAACTTGAACCAGTCGGCCCTGTGGGACTCCAGCGCCTTAACTGCCATGCCACTTGCAGGCCCTCCCCCCGCTTTTTTTTTTTTTTTTTTTTTTAATGAATTGGTCATTAGAGCCCAGAAAGATTGAAAACTGAAAAAGTCTTACTTGTCTTGAGTTAAAAAAGGTGAGGATTACAAGCTGAAGGGGAGTAAAGTGGCAATGGCTAATTTAAAAAATAAATATATTTAAATGACTTTTATTACGTGACATATACTTATTATAAATAATTTGGGTAGTATAGAAGAATACAAAGAAGAAAGTAAAATTATTCAGCAGTTGTCACTGAGAAATGATCATCATTAATATTAGGTGAAAATTCATTCATGTTCATGTAGGATAAACAGTTACAGAAATGAGATGGGGCCAGCAGGTGGAGTGAAGGTTAGGGAGGCTGGGTCCTACGTGGCTGACTTCGCAGTTTGCGTCCTGGACCCAGTAGCCTGAAAAACCACATTGGATACATGTACGTGCATGCCCAAAATCCTGAGAGGAGAGTGGAGAAAGGATGGTGACATGGCCATGGCCATCACTCACTCCCTCCCATCTCTGGCGGTCTTTTTTTTTTTTTTTTAGAGAGGGTTTATCTTTTTTTTTTTTTATTAGAGAGGTTTTTGCTATAGGGTGCATGCACTCACCAGAAAGACGGAAGTCAGAGAGACAGAAAGCAAGAAATCACCCTTCTGTGGGGGATGGCCATGCCGCAATCCCTTCTCCTCCATTCTCTTCTTGTGATATTGGGCACGCACACACATGCTCCCAGCATGAGTTTAAGCCACTGAGTCTGGGACTCAAACCACGGTCAACTACATAGGAGTCCAGTGACATAGCCATTATGCCAACTGCTGGTCCCTCTGTTGGTCTATCTTAAACAAGCACAGGAGACCTATAGCAAACTAAAAGGAAAAAAAGAAATGAGATCATCACCAATGTGCTGTAAAGATACTTAGTGTTATTTGAACATAGTATAAACAAATAAGGAATTATTAAGCTTTTAAATATGCATGTATATGTATATATGTTTGAGTAATTTCCTAAAAGATCCCTTTGTCGTTAAGATAAAAAAAAAGTATGGAAGAACATTCATATTGGACTTGTTTACTTTAATAAGTTTATGAAACTTCTCTAAATTTTCCATAATTTTTAGTTTTTTTTTTTTTAATAAAGAGATGTTCTGAAATAGCATTTTGCTAAATGGAGTCTATTTTACTAAGTATTTTTAGGGCTATTGTGTAGTTTCTGTGAAGCTTTTTAGAAATAGAATTTAAAAAGATCTTAAAACAATTTATTACATTAATTTTAAATATAATATATAAACATTACAAAAATGCATAAATTTTACATTCTATTACTTCTTTTTTTTTTGCTATAGGGTATGTTCACTTGACAGACAGAGAGGGAAAGTGAGAAATCACTCCCCGGGGGGTTGGCCACATTGCAGTCCATTCTCTTTCATTCTTTTGGGTCTTTGGGCATGCAAGCACACGTGCCCAGCATGATTTTCAGTCCGATGGGTCTGCGACTCAAACTTTGAAGTAGGCCATGTGGGATACAGTTCTGTATCTTCTACACCGTCTTCTGGCCCCATTACTTTGTTTTTAAACCTCTTCTAGAGGGTTCGTGTGCTTGCCAGTGGGGGTTGGGTGAGGGTGTGATAAACACTGCAATCCCCTCTCCTCCATTTCTCTCTCCTTTTAGGATTTTGGGTGTGTGTGCACACATCCAGTGCGCTTTTTAAGTACTAGGTCCAGGACTTGAACTACAGAGTTGGCCATGTGGGATCCACCTCACTACTGGCTGGCCCACGTTATATACATTATTAAAAAAAAGAAAAATTCAGGACCAGCAGGTGGTGTGGTTAAGTTGCTAGACTCCCACATGGCTGACTGTGGTTCAAGTCCCGGACCTGGTAGCTTGCTCTCTCACTTTTTCTCTCATAGTAATAATAATAATAAATAAGATAACTTGGAAATAATTATTTTCATTTTCCTTTTCTTATTTTCTAAAATAACTATTTATGTATTTATTTACTATCTTTTTCTAATTTTACCAGAGGAAGGGTGAGAAAGTGAGCTGCCAAGTCCAGGACCTTAACTGCCATGTGGGGAGTCCAGTGCCTTAACCACTATCCTACTTGTTGACCCCACATTATATGCTCCTTTCTCTTTTTGAGAAAAAGCAAAACATTTTTTGAGAGATTTTTGCTTTAGAATGTGTGCGCTTGCTTGAGAAACAGAGACAGAAAGCAAGAAATCACCCCCTGGGGGGTTGGCCATGTTGCAGTTCCATCTCCCCCATTCTCCTCTTGGGGTTTTGGGCACGCATACACATATGCCCAGCATGAGCTTGAAGCTGCCAGGTCTGGGGCACAAACCCTGGTCGACTCTGTGGGAGTCCAGTGATGTAACCATTATGCCATTTGCTGGACCTAAGAAATTTTTGCTATAGGGTGTGTACACTTGCCAGAAAGAGGCAGAGAAATCATCTTCTCTGGGGGTGAGGCGGATGGCCATGCCTCAATCCCTTCTCCATTCTTTTCTCAGGATTTTGGGGACACAGGCACACACTCCAGACTTCCAGGCTCAGGACTTGAACCACAGTTTGCTATGTGGGAGTCTAGTGCCTAAGTCATCATGCCACCTGCCGGCCCCACATTATATACTCTTAATACCACAACTGAAGATAGCTGCTGTCAACTTTGGTGCATGATTGTTTTTTAATGTTTATATTACGGTGCTGTTTTATAGTTTGTTTTTCATTTGATCATGTACCTGAGGGTGCATGTCAGTGCACATATATGTGCTTCATTATAGCTGTTCAGCTGTTCAGTATTTCTTTCTATAGAACTACTATAGTTTACTTAACTAATTTTTTTTTTGAAAGAAGTTTTTGCTATAGGGCACGTACGCCTGTCAGAAAGACAGAGATAGACAGAAAGCGAGAAATCACTCCCTAGGGGGTATGGCCATGCTGCAATCCCTTCTCCTCCATTCTCTCAGGATCTTGGGCATGCACACACATATGCCTGGTGTGAGTTTAAGCCACTGGGTCTGGGATTCGATCCATGGTTGACGACAGGGGAGTCCAGCGGCATAGCCATTACGCCGACTGCTGTTCCCAGTTTACTTAACTAATTTGTGTTTCTGGACATTTCTGTCACCGTCCTCTTTCATCGTTGGCAGTAGACAATGCTATATGAACATCTTTGGGCATATATCCGTGGGTACTTATGGGAACTTTTTTTTTGTCTTTTTAAGTAATTAATTTATTATTTTTAATTTGACCAGAGAGAGGGAGGTAGCGAAAGTGAGAAAGCAAGCTGCCAGGTTTGTGAATCAGACTGTGGTTGACCATGTGGGAGTCTAGCGTTCTTAACCACTACTCCTCCTGCTGGCCCCTATTTATTTATTTTAATTAGACCAAAGAGGGACAGAGTGACAGAGAGAGAGAGAGGGAGGTAGCGAAAGTGAGAAAGCAAGCTGCCAGGTCTGGGACATAAACTGCTGTCAGCCATGTGGGAGTCCAGTGCCCTTAACCACCACCAGCTGCTGGCCCCTATGGAAAATTTAAAAATAGAATAAATGATAAATGGAAATTCTAGGTATATGGATATTAATATTAACATTTATAATTCTGACTCTTATCACTGAATTGTTTTTACTTATTTTTCAATCAAAAGTGAAATAGAATGTTAGATTTTTCTTATCCTGTACTAGGTGTGTACAGCTTTGAGTACCTTTGAATAAAGTAATGAAGTTTGATATAAAATGTAATTTTTTTTTTAAGATATAGCTTTATTTATTTACTTATTTTAAATTTTACCAGAGAGGAATAGACAGAGAGAGAGAGAGAGAGAGAAAGAGAGTGAGAAAGCAAGCTACCAGGTCCAGGACTCAAACTGGTCAGCCATGTGGGTGCCCATTCTCTTAACCACCATGCCACCTGCCAGTCCCAAAGTGTCAATAAAATTTAAAGACAATCTTTTTCATAATTTATGTAGATTTCAAATGTGTTAGTTACAGAACATTGGTCATTTTCTAATTTTTCTGGGTAACTTTTCTTAGAGCAGTCTTTTTTTGGTTTGTTTCTTTTTGTTTTTTAAGTTTTTTGCCATAGGGTTCCTGCAGTTGCTGGAGAGAGACAGAGACAGGAAAGTGCAAAATCGCTTCCCAGGGGATGGCCACACTACAGTTTCTTCTCTTGCTCTGTCCTCTCAGGACTTTGAGCATGCATGGCCATGCACCTGGTGTGATGTTCAAGCCACTGGGTCTGGACGCAAACTGTGGTCAGGCATGTGGTCAGCCATCTGGGAGTCCAACTCCATA